AATCATAGATTCCGGATAAAGAAGACCTTATCCGCCCATCAAGACTAAATCCAAGGTACTAAAGTCGATTATCGTTCTAAATATTTCAAACATCCAAGGAATGAGTTCTTCCCAAAATGCCCTGCTAATGAGGTTGCTTAGCACATATATGCGTAATGGTTCATAAATCTGAGACTATGAGAAGAGAATTCGTCGAACAATAAAGGAATAAATCACGGTAAGAGCAGAAAAAACCTGGAAAAAATTCTTCGTAAGAAAGAATAGAAAAGTCAACGGCTTCCAAAACCAACATATAGATTCTGATACTGTAGAGTTTCTTTCTGAGATAATAATTTAATATATTTGGTTCTGACGTTAGAATCTTGGTGTGAGAACCCGGGAAAATTTCGAAACGAACGTGGTGGCCAACATAAACATGGTGGAGAGGAATTTTGGTTGTGGGTGGTTGTCGTCCTCGGAGTTGGGTACTTGTTTTATTGACATAATTTCTCAGTTCATAATTGACTTTTAATCATTGAATCTTCGCACAAAATTGAACCTTCATAACGATTTTAAATCAACCAGACATGACCCAGCAACAATTCTTTGAACGTTAGCGCTGCTACTGTATAACTGTCCTGAAAAATAAAACACCCCCACCAATCTCCACATTACATCTCATAGAGAAATTTGGCAAGAATTAAATCAGATTCGCAAACAACCATTTCTTAAACGACATTAAAATCGGTGCTTCAAGAAGAGAGTAAATCCCCAGACTCACAAAACATTAGCCGAATGCATCCCAAGAATTAATCATGTTTTAAGTAAAAGGAATCCAACAAAATAAGAAACCTTTTGAAATCAAATTGTTGTATAATATTTGATGAAGTAAGTGTCCCACACTAAGTGAGCCGTTTCTGCTCGTTCTAAACTTGTATTTTATTAATTAATATTAATATGTGAGATGTATTTATGTAATTTTTTACTATTTAGTAGACAACACCCACAAAATGTTACATGTTTTTATTAATTTGATTGCAGTTCCGTTGGTAAGACAAGTGTCCCATCACTTTTGAGACACGTAGTTTACCTGCACTACAAAGTCTTAGTAAATTAAGGCATATTTTCTCTTCGTTGTATTTACCCTAACCAAAGTAGCAACTCTAAATTTAGATTATTTCCTTTGGCTGAATATTGCCTTAGTCATCTAATTCCATCTGTAGGAGATGAAAAATCATCCAGTATGTAAGGGAATCTGTGTTACAAGTAATGCCAACCGAGGAAATAAATCCAGACGACAACGCCCCCCCCCCTTTTTTTTTTTTTTTTAAATCTAAATGTGTATGCAAAGTCTCTTGGAACGTTTCTAGTATGAATTTAATGCATTCATTCCAGAACAACATTAAAGGAAATAATGCTCATTATGTTAATTCTTATACATTTCCAATAAATGTTGATTGACATCCTGTTTAAAAGTTTTAGCTATGTCGAATTTCAATAGACTGTTTTTGATTTCTTGTCATCTCTTTGCTTTTCAAATCTTTAGAAAAATACATGCGACACTGACATAAAGTGTCATCTATAAAACTGTAAAGACACCGAAAGCATCAAAATTAAGGTCTGTAAATAAGTTTTTTGACAGGAAACTTGTTGGGAATGACCTTCCTAACCTACTTGTCCGTTAAACTATATTTTTGCCTCTCTCATATGCCAGTAGCAATTAAGTGAATATTTCACATGACACTGCTAAGTGTAAATAGAAACCAACTACAACTTCCTATTAGATAGCCTGCGTCTTCCTTGCATTATCCAATACTCCAAACCAGCCACAACTTTTTAAGGCACGCTTTCTGACAAAAGAGTAATTAAATTAACGATCAGCAGCTGATTTTACCATTTGTTTGAGTGTTTATCAATTTTAGTACATTTGCGTATGTAATAATTTTGTAGATAGTTTTCTTAACATTATATTTGTACATAGTGGTATTTATACTGAGCACTGTACTTAGTAGAACAATTAATGTTCAAAGTATCGCTTCTTGGTAACTCAGGTGAGTAATGGCCTTTCTTGACAGTAACTATGATTTTGGTAGTTGTGGACTATGTCATATTATTGGGTGTGTGTGTTATAAATGGGCTGATTAGCTCCAACCAGAACTTTGGCGGTTAGGGATACGAGACGATCGAACTCCTAGGACAGCAGGGTCGCAATCCGTAGTTGCAAGCTATGTGCAAGAAGCAGAGAAAGAACAAACAGCAACACTTATGAGACAAACTTTTATTGAAGTTGTCCTACAACGTGTTCGAATTACGACCAGAGTCGTCTGGCAGACCTAAGAGGCCGGCGTTGTATGTATTCCTTATGTTCTCTAATTCCTCGCAGGTCACGTATCCCCGCAAGCTACGATATTCGAGCGGCGACGTCTTCACTGAAGAACGGGGTTGCCGTACACGACTCTTCACGTGACCCAGAAAATCCATGCATGATGGCCCATATCGGCACTAATAACAGGGCCACCACGACTGTCCACTCTGTCCAACGGTTACGTCTTGTATGTGGCGATCACCGTCTGCCGGTACATATAGTGCGCAACGACGGAGGAACTGTGCTGCTCAGCCATTGGACAGACTTGTTGCAAGAAGACCATGTTGCCCTACCGCCAAGGCGAAGTGCGTCCGAGATGTCATTTCCAAAATGCGGCCCAAATATTGCAAAACCTCTTGAATGCTCGGGCTCTTACAGAGGGTCTCCAAAGCTCAACTGGGCGTTATCCTATTGAAGGCTCCCTCACAGTGGATTCCTCCCGTGAACAGACGGCGCAGCAAATGAGCTCTCTGTAGCACTCTTTGCGAACCATGGCACCTCTCCGTATGGATAATCCTCAGCTCTAATACTATGACTCGCATGAGATATTGCGCCTTTGGTGTGCTGCGAGGATCTTCAAACATGATTGAGATAACCTACTTGCTGGGCTATCGGTGGATGCTCGTACTTGGATTTTCTTCTCAGAAACTAGATGGCCGCCGCTTTGCCATGTGTGCTCGTCTTTTGCCTGCACTTCTGTAGCTTTGTTAACAACAGTCTTGTACCCTTCTGTTGCCCCTTACAAGGTCGTTGATGTGACCGCTGTTCGGTAAAGTTCCCAGTAAAACCGTCGAACGGTGTGCCCGTTACAATCCGCAGATCCATCAGCATGTCCACCAATTCATCGTTTGAATATGCGTTCATCCTACTGTAGAGACATTGCGGGATTCGGACAATACTCGATGTCTTTAAGCGAACGCTTTCCGACCCGCTTTCACATGTCACCTGTAGATACATTAGGTTATTTTGAAGCGGAAAACACGAAAAATAAGCAATGCCCTAGCCGAGACTTGAACCTGGACCTCTCGAATACGCGCCTGTTTGCTACTGTTAACACCGGAAGGCTGCAGAATGAAAAAACTTATCTACTCCCCCTTTTGACGCGACGGGGGATTGGTACCCAATCGCCATCCTGGTGGTGAAGATCATCATTGACCGTTTTAGTTCGGCGACCTGTATACTTAGGTTTTTGAATAAAGAACCTAAAAGGCAGTGCCTAGCTGTACTCAACTTGGCCCTCTGAATACTTTTCCATTCTTCTACCGTACGCATCGAATGCGCAAATGAGAAAACTTAACATTCGTAGGAACGACGCAAATGACAACTTCAACGATCGCTTTCACTAAACTTTCCAATCAGCGTCATCTCTACCCCCGATAGACGCCGAAGATCTTCCGAAGTAAGGAATTGCATGCAGCGCCTCTGGCGGCTTCCTGGTGACTACTGGTCGTAACTTCGAACGCCTGTTGTATTACACTTTCAATAAATGTTTCTGCCCCTTAATGTGTGGCGGTTTCTGTTCTTTTCTCTCTTCTTGCACATAGCTCACACTCCGTATTTGCGACCCTGCATTCCATGTATTCGGAGTCGTCTCTGTGCCTTACACATCCGCAGTTTGTCGGCCTAGTAGTGATTACCGCCATATAAATTATATTATAATACATGGTGATTGGTAAGATATTATACTATTCATATATAATAATAACAATATTTCCTCAACAAATATAATATATAATCAGAACAATAATTTATTCAGTGGAACTGATCTAGTTCTTTTAAAAGAAAGTATGATAGTCGTTGCCTTAAAATCAAACAGTTTGGAGGCCATTAAGAAATCAATCCATCAGTTACGATTATTAGGAAGAAAATAATTAGGGTTATTAGATAAATTAAATAATTTATATTGTTAGGAAGTAATAAGAAAGAATTTTTTTCCTCGGGAAACTCTGGTAAAACTCTGATTAGTATCATAAGGAGAAAAAATGACGAAATCAGTATGGAGATTTTTTATCTGTATAAAATTATGAACGCTATGTTTTTGATTAAGTGCCGAAGAGTTTGAAAATGAATAAAAAATGAACAGAAAAGTTTAATGCATATAAATGTCAGATAAATACTATATTTCGCTATTTGTCCTAATCATTTTTTATTCCATCTATTTCATTACGTAATGTATTTGTAAAGAGGCGTAATGGAATTTATGCACCCACCACGGACGTTAAGGCAGCTGAAATTCATCGTATATAGATTAATGTTAAGGGGGGGAAGATATCATCTATGTGCATAAATGATGCAATAGGGGAAGAATTTGGTTTATTCCACCATTAATGGTACTTGATTTTCGAGGAAGAACAAGAAAGGTTAAAAAAAAAAAAAAAAGGTCCGGAGCAACTTACGAGTTTCCTCAAAATTAAGTAGCATATTAGCCTAGTGATTAGTTGGCTTTCCGTGACAAAAACTGTTGTCAAAGAAGTAACTGTTGACATATTGTAACAAGTTTTAATCGAAATGGCGGACTGGTGGAGAAATAATATTAGACGATATCTGATTCCGTAATTCATTTTAAAATAATTTCTTTCATTCTCATTTTTATTTCCAATCGCTTTGGAACATAGTTAAAAATAGCCTTCGTATCTAAGCTATTTAAATGTTTCACTTCTAAGACAAAGAATGTGCTTACCTGAAAGCCGGTCAAGAAGTCACTGCTAAAAAGTGCAACTTGTTTTTCTTTGCCATCAAATTTTCCAAACAATGCAAAACGGCTGAAAATAACACATGCATTAAAAAGAACTGAAATAATTTATTTGAATTACTGTTATTTGAAATTCTCAATTACACATATTTATATAATATTAGCATACTTTTGCGATGAGTGCGGTCCACTTGATACCTGCCAGCGCTGTGTTCCATTTGTTTCCAGAAGTGTAACTTCACTCTCAGTCCACAGAACTAAACTTTCCTCCGTTGGTAGAAGTAGCGAAGAAGACAGAACTCCAGAGTTTCTAAAGAGTAACATACTTGTAGAATGAATGAAGGAAAACTGGTCGTGGGTTTATGTGAAACGAAACTCTGTACTACTGCTGGCAAAATTCTGGTATGGATGATGAGTAAAACAGATGAATATATGAAGTAAATTTAGTTATAATTTCTGACTTGATACGGGTAATAATTAAAAATTAAAGCATCGTATAAATTAAGTCTTAAAGTTTATAGTGCTTTACGGGTACCTTTGTAACGATCAGTTTAATATTTCAAAATGAAGCATATGAAAAACACAGCAGCTCCTATCGAGCAAAATCAAAACTTCTCTTTTACGAGTTTGCATTCCGTTTATCCAATCCTATAAAGTTAGAAAATTCCATCTATCTTGCATTTGGACCTTAAAAAAAGACTCTTAAAAAGATAATCGGTGAAAGAACTACTTGCAAAAACACTCTTATAATAATTCACCTAGAAAAATTGAGATTTCATTTGATATAAACTGATGACCATTTATGTAATTGATTTTCGATAAATTCTGTGTGTCAATATATTCTTCAGCTGTATCGACTCAGCAAGGTTTTGCAAAGATGTATCTAAATATTCAATTAATAAGATGTTACTTTTATAGCATATTGTCAATTTTACGCCTTTTTACAATAATAATAATAATAATAAAAGGATAGTCTTTGCATTAAACACCAAACAAAGTCGCATCAAATTAAGCAAAGATAAAAATGTCTAGATATGAAAAAAACAGAACTTTTGACGGAACAAAGTAGCTTAGTTAACAGTTCTATGGAATGATCTATTGCAAAAATATAATAGTAAATAAAATTCAACGTTCTTTAAAGTCTGGTATGAATTCGACCTGGTTCAACCCGAATTCGATTTGATTTGATCCTAGGCGAACGAGCTGGTTGCACGATTAGTTTCAGTGATCTTTCCCATGTGTAACATGAATAAGAGCCTGTTTCCTTTTGAAAGTCGCTCCACGGAAGCGTCCCTCTTCTTAGGCATATAGCCTTCGTTTGCTTTGCAATACTGAATTAAACTAACCATCTCTAAATTATGCAAAACTTAGGTGAAATAGTTGAATTGAAATTCGTGTGCTTCCCTTGTTAGCCGAAAAGATGCTATAACCTCGTCTGAGCTATATGACTATTTAAAATTAAAGACGACAGAGATACATTACAATACATTCTCTGTTGTTTGTATTTTTACTTTCAAATTATAAGCTACATGGTACTATTTGTCTTACAACTAAATAAATTTCCTCTTTCCGGCATTATCAACCATTCTACCAGTAGATCACTTTATGAAATAGAAAGGTAAAACGGAAATAGAACTTAATAGAAAGGCTAAAAAAGGAAACATTTATGTGTTGGAACAAATAATTATAACTATGAAATATAGACTAAAAGGAAAAGTTGGTACTTTTAAGACCAAATGAATTTATAATGAAATTTTAAATGCCACTGACTCAGTTGTTTAAAAAAGTGACTTCTTTATTATTATAATTGTTATGGCTTTGAATAACGTTGTAAAATTTCAGAACATCCAGTGAAACTGAAGTAAAACATTATTATCTTTTTATATTCATTTTCAGATTGTCTTATACTTTCAATTTCGGGTAAAATTTTATTCATTCACCTTCATAAGTGTTTCTTGAATAAAATACGCGCATGATATTATCAATACCTGCTGTCCAGAGTGAATGTCAGGTGACCAAGCCTTTTTTACCATTAATTATGAGTAATGGTTGAAAATCCTTAAATATCAAATAGGAATTTTAAATCCTTGAACACACGTTTGTTAACTATTAAAAATTTATATTTAATCTAGATTGTTTAATACAACAATTTATAAATTACCTGGATGTTAATATCGATGTGTCTAATTTTGGTGTAGTGCTGTACAAGCACCATTTGCTCTCAGGTACTCTCACCAATACTTCTACATGAAAGAGATAGATTGTTTCAGTCACGGAAAGAATATCCAAACTCATAAAAGAATTAGGAATAAGTAAGTAAAATTTTAGTACCATTTTCTTTTCTTTGACAGACAAAAAGCAGATCCGTTGTGTTTTCTGTAGTGTTCCAAGCTGTGAGTTTCACTGGAATTGCATCGCACCCAGAAACAGTCACGAATGAAACAACACTTCCACCACCAAAAACAATCTTGATCTTCGATTTTGAGACAGCCACAGCAACTTCCTCGAGATTATCGTTGTTACAGTCGGGAAGAATGAGGGGAAGAGATGGCTTCTCCTCTTCCTGAATGTCTCGACTCCACAATACACTGCCTATTAATGAACGATTTTTATATTTAGAATGAAATATTAACTGTTTTAAAGTTTTCGATTAATAATTAGAGATGGTAAATAAGTTACTTATAGCTTAGATTTAAAATTATTATAGCTAATTTAGAAGTCAAACAACAAAAATCAGCGTTATATTTACAAAATTTTCACAGGACTAATTTCGATGGTTTTACCGAACCACCATACTCAGCTGCAAAACCGCAAATGAATAAGATAAGAAATAATGATTAGATAAGATAAGGAAGCCTGGACAAGAATAAGCAAGTGGCGCCATCTGTTTGTGAAACCAGAACTAAAACATAATTTCTCTAAAGGCCGAAGGCAAATTTGAGTTGGAATTAGGATCGTTAACTAGAACAGAAAGATGTTTATGAATGTGTAATGCCTCTAGAAAATCCAGTTCTCCAATGGAAGATGTTTTTTGAATAATTTTGGCAGCAGAAAAATTGAAAGTATGGTTTTCGGACCAACAATGTTGAGCAACAGAAGACTTCTGTGGTTCCTTTTTTCTAACATATGCCTCATGTTCCTTGACGAGAAATTTTAAGGCTCTCTTAGTTTGGCCAATGTAAATTAAACCACACTGGCAAGGAATCCTATAAATACCCCAGGAATTCATATCCGGAATGGGGTTATGGTTTCACCAACAGATGGCGCCACTTGCTTATTCTTGTCCAGGCTTCCTTATCTTATCTAATCATTATTTCTTATCTTATTCATTTGCGGTTTTGCAGCTGAGGATGGTGTTTCGGTAAAACCATCGAAACTAGTCCTATGAAAATTTTGTAAATATAACGCTGATTTTTGTTGTTTACTTCTGAATTAGTATTTATTCGGCGTATTATTGTGTCTTAATTATTATAGCTATTTATAGGTAATTAGCGATGGTAAATAAGCTGTATAATTAGAGATGGTAAATAAGCTACTTTTCGGAATAATAGAGCTGATGACAATTGCATTAGTAAATGCTCAAATATGAATTTAATGAGTACTATGATATTCACCTGATTTATTAGTCATCTGTTTGAACAAGTCACCTGCTTTATATCTTTTGTATTGCCGTGCTAATCTATTGTTGGACATTATTGCCCAAGGTAGTTCCAGTGGACAATAGGCATAAAAAAAGCAAATAAATGTATAGTGCTATCAGTGAAATAAAGCACGATTTTCCTAAAACAGGCGGCTGTATTTTTTCATGCAGACACACTTCTGCGTGAAAAAAAATGCAGCAATGGTTGAAGTGTTTTAGAAAAATTTAGAAGCTAGGGATGAAAGAGAGAGATGATGTAACAAGAATGTTTTGTACTACAAAAGTAGAAAATCTCAGGACTTCAAACTTTTTAGAAAATGTGGGGACAAATTTTATTTATTTGCATTAAAAATTAAAGAATAGATGGCGTCTCAGAATCTGTTTATCTGTAAAACTGACAGATTTAGTCGTAACTTTTGGAAACTGCTTCTTTATATCTAACATACTCAGAGAAACGTTAATGATAGTTCGATTATGATAGTTTCGATAGAACGATAGTTTGGTTGTAGTTCCTGTAACAGGTTTATAATTAACAAAATGTTTCTTAATTGCAATATTTTCTAGCTCTGAAAATCCCATTGTAAACGAAAGTTGTTCAATATAACTTATATCTACTGTACAGTCAGTCTAACATAAGACTAAACTATTTTGCTGATCTAGCTTCATTAAGCATATTACCCTGCACAAAATTTTCAAGAAAATTGATTATTTTATTCCGATCATTTTTACCATGATAGAGAATATAAATTTCTTTAGATACAGCTCGACGTAAGTGGTGATAGCTGAATATTTTATTCTCCATGCATAAAAAAAAATTCAAATAATTTCTGCAGAAAGTGAATTTTTACACATTCTTAGCTCACATAACTTGTGTTATGTAGTTCTATCATGTAAATCTTTCACTTAGGATATCAAGTAGATATTTTACCTTCTTAATTGAAGAAATAGCCGTATCATAGAATAATAATTTAAAGTGGGAAGACGCGAATGCTCGAATACATTTATAGCAAAACGAAAGGAGTAAAATATTAATTGAGTTTGATGGTAAGGGATCTGCTGTTGTTATTTTGCTTCAAAAAGCACGATTTTTGAGCTCGTTTAGCAGGCAGTTCTCTGGATAGAACTGCAGAAACCATGGGTATGAGACGAGAAATTGTATAGAAAGTTATGGATGTGTTCGAGAAAGACCAGCGAACTGCCTTAAACCGAAAGAAAATGGGGACGGTAGATGATGATAGCCCGGGAATGGCAAATTAGAGTTTAAGTGAACTAAAATATAGGAGGAACAGTGCAAGCAAATACATACATACATTCATTTTGAATAGCTCTTTAGGTGTTGCACACGTTCAGTTCTGCATGGTTCCATTCTTATATATAAACTGCTGATTATATCCGTGAGTGCCACAAACTGTACATAGTTTCGCACAAAACTGTCAAACCTGAAACCTCAGCAATTGCCCATACCTGACTTATATACTCTTCTGTTGGTAAAAGAGAGTAAATAAATATCCGATAAATATTTATTTACTCTCTTTTACCAACAGAAGAGTTTTATACGGAGCTTTCATATGAAATTCGTAGGTTTTATATCATATTCGAATACCTCATAGAAGTAGTGCTGTTATATAGTGGTAATTAATAACTTTTTAGACATAATGAAATGTCAGATTAATGGCTTATGACAGTCAAAGTATTCTATAGGCCTAAAGTTAGCCACGCGGTTTAAATTTTCTTAATGCTTAGTTCTTATTCTAGGTGGGTAAAATTGTGAAGCACACTGTCACCAACATGACTCATTGAATAGTGAAATCAAACACTGACTTTCATGCTCTTACTCATCAGGCTGCTTAACACTACGGAAATTTTATGGGATCTGCTGAAATGCGAGATAAGGCCTTATTATCTTTCTTTTTCATCAACTGTAAGAGATTTTGACAAAGGAATGGAGCAAAATACATTTCTACAGGATCTTAATTTGTTTATTGAGTGAAATTTCTTTAGTTATGAAGTCTCATGTTACCCCTTTAAGATTCTAAGTAATTAAAATAATTGTTTTCATTCACATATTATTTCCTTTGTTTTCTCTACAAAGAATATCTATCTTCATTCCCTAAAATATATTCTCTAAAATAAACTGCTTTTTGAACCAGTTCAAATTAGCAGAAGAAATAATGGTAAATGAAATATTTATTTCAATTTGGAGTTCCTGAAGCGCCATTTTCACCGGCGATCCTAAAAGAGAAATTTTCAGGGCACAGCAGGTACAAATCCTATCACCTAAATTACAATTTCATCAACAAAGAAAATTAATATGATCTACTAGCTAAAAGGAGAAAGAATCTCATCTTAGGAGGAGAAAAGAAACAGAGAGTATACTGCAGAATACGCAATGTGAAATCCTGTTTATTACATTCGCTATTCTTGATCATATCATAAACTGGCAGATTAAGATGTCATAATAATGCTTTTATTTAAAGTTAAATTTAATTTAAAATAATATTATGTCTACTATTAATAATTCTATCAGCACTAAAGCATTTGCCAATTTTTCATTAAGTTAAACAAGATGGACACAAAGTCCCAATACCATTACGAGCACTCACAGCCCAGGAATTGTTTGAGCTAAAACAAAGCGTTTTTTGGAAAATGTTCTGCATCTCTCCAAATTTTATGGGCATTTAATGTACTTCGACATGCAACCATTCGTTGCCTTCAGGATGTGTCCATATTTCTTCTAGCCACACACAGTGTAGCATAACAATGTTCACTGTTTCTACAGCTTCACTTATCCGTCTGCGAAGTCTCAGAAGATATGGAACGCGATTTGGTAAATATAATGTATTCCTAAGCAAGAAAAAAAAAAAAAAAAAAAAGACCAAGAAGATGACATCAGGCAAGCATGGAGGCCAGGCGTTTGGTCCGCCACGGCCCATCCGTCTCTCATACATAGAAATGTCGACTCAAAATTCCTCAAAGATACATAGTCCACTGTGAAGGATTTCTCTCCTGTACCTATGGTAAAGTTCTGGTCTCCCATTCACTTATTCTTGTACCTGTAACATCAAAACTGGCTGCAAATGTTTTGTGTGAGGAAGTAGAGTTTCCTGAAAGAAAAATGGACCTGTCACTCTATAGAGAATACCACTGTAATTAAACTCAAAGAGATGTAGAATTAAATTCCATTTTCCAAAAAATCACATTATTCTAAGACATGCTTAGTGTCTGGTTACGAATGATTGTAATGATCCTCCCTATATGATTGCTATTTTTGATAAGATTGAGCTGAAACTAAAGAGAAATCTAGCTTTCATTTTAAACAAAATATTATATGAAATATAAGGCAACTATTAACAAATTTCTCGAGTCTAAGCTTTTATAAAAGTCTATTCTCCCTCTCAAAAATACAAGCGAACAAGAATAACTATGAATTCATATATCAATACCGGATATTTGTATTCACTATGCAGGAAAAGTTTCAGGGTCAGTGGTTTAAATAAAACTGAAATGTCCGAAATTCAAACATTCTTTAAAGTTAATTTGTAGCGTAAAGTATAAGTCCTAGTATGAGACTTAAAATGTTAATAGAAAGGGGAAAAGATGACTGATAGTAGTGAAACATGCTAAAAATAGATTAAGTTCTGTCATAACAGAGTACCAAGTCTGATTAATTGGTCGTGAGTGTTTCACAATAATTTTATGGAAAATTAATGATTATCATTTACGCCAGATGTAAACTTTAGTTACCATCTAAAGGATTTATGAGTTTTAAACGTCCTTCTCCGTCCATGACGATACAAGTTTCTTGTTGAGGCGTATCCAATTTACCACACTGAATGTAACGAGCAGATTCATTAATGTTAGCTTTCCACAGTTCTTTGCCGGAAGATCTATCGATGCTGATCACACCATTTTCGTAGTCTTTTGCAAAGGTAAATAAGATGTTGTTGGAGACTCTAAGTTTAGATGTCACATCTGCAAATAAAGTTGCATATATTTTATTTTATATTTGCAACATTAAAAATAACATGCTTAGCTTAAAAATTTAAATTTTGACATATACGAAGAGTTGGTTCTGTTCAGATAAAAATTTACTGGCAACGATACAAAACTAAAAAAAAATTTTGAATGAGAAAGAAGTCTTCGTTTTGCAACAAGAAATATGCCTTATAAACTTGAAAAAGATATCCTTCGAGTTTATAGAACAGGCAAACGATAAAAGTTTTCCAAGAAAGTACAATATCTTTCAAGCGATACTGCAGAATTTTCATAAAGTTAGTTAAGCCCCACCTTTTCTAAAGGTATAAGAAATTAAATTACTTGTTGTTTGTAAAGACAGGTAGAAAGACATTCACGAAATGTTTCTGAAAAGAAGCATTCTCTCAAAATAGACCAGAATAAATTTAAAAGATTTACAGAAGTAGTTTATTTATTTTTCCTGAAATTTCAAATTAATAATTAATTATGTAAAGAAGATTCGAAAAAGTATTTTTTAAAGAGGATGTAAGGTATTATTACAAATTTTGTTTTAAGTACAACCTGAAATTCTATTTAATTTTTTTTCCAGGGAATTGCTATTTAAAAAAGTAAGTATCAACAGTGTAATTAAATACCTTCTTTCTTATAAAAAGAAACTGTACATAGATCTAGCACAACCAATAGCAGATTAACTGCTTATAATTTCTACTTCATTATGTAACTCGGTATCAAGTAATCTAGCCCACTCCATGACAAGCGTTACCTACTTGTAATTGTAATGTGACTCCGACCGATGTGGTCTTAGTGGTCTAATGCATTTTATAATTAGATGTCCTTGAAAGAATTTTGATATGATAATTCTTATTTAAAACTGTGTTTAAGTCAATCTTCAGAAAAGTTTCAAAACTGTTACGTATTTGTTTCATCATCAAATTGCACATGAGCCGAATGCACAATCTGGAAATGGCTTGAAGGGGCAGAATTTTTTTTTAAGAAAATGAAAATTTTTTTATTAACAAAGTAAAAAATACTTTAAATAAATTCTAAATTTCGCTTACTGCATATTTATCAAATATACATAAGCAAGAATAATAATATCGCAAACGAAAAAATTCAAATTCATATTTATTTTCTTTCTGAAATCTAAAATATGTCACCTGCAAGACAGTTTTGTTGGTTACACACTATTATTCAAATATATTGATAGCTAAATATTAAATTTTCAGAATGTTTATTTAAGATAGCTATAACATGTTTAATTAAACGTAAATAATTAAATTTAAATTATAAAGAAACGAAATAAAAACTTTCTGAGTTTTCAGACAATTTACCAAGTGAGTCAAAACTTGAGTTAAAAAATGACAATCTAGTCTCTTTTTCGTAATTATGGAATTTTTCTTCGACGTATCAATACAAATACATATGTTTGTGTGTAAATAATTATACACTTCTCAATTTCTTTCTACAGCTTGATACTTGATGGGTTCTGATTTTTATAAAGTTTGTAGCCTTTTTTTCAGCTGTGAAAAAAGGTTGTTCACATATAAATATATTCACGAACAAAGCGAATTTTCTTTAGTACAAAAATTCGTAACTGAGTTTATTTATTTTTTGACACTTATAAATAAAAGTAAATAAAATCTGCATCGTTTGAAATTTTTGAATAAGATTTATATCACTCTGAAAAATGACAAATTTACTCTGCCATTTACAGATTTTTCTGGTGCGTTACTCATGTTCGTTTTTAATGATAATGGAACTAATGTAAATTCGGTCTTCAAATGAATAAAATTTTGAAACCTTTGTAACACCGTATTTACAGCAAATATATTGTAAGATATTTCTTCCGCCTTCTTAGCATGCCTTCATGGTGGGGTGGTATACACGCTGGGCGCGTATTGCAGAGGTCCGTGGTTCGATTCTCGGCGAAGGTGGTTGCTCATTTTTCATCTTTTCCTGCTTCAAAAATACCTAATGTCTCTGCAGTGGCGCCCGAACTAAAAGGGTGGTGGAGGATGATTCTCCACACCCAGGATTTGGCGATTGGGTCCCCTAAAAACCCCAGTAGCCCTTTAAAATGGGGACTATATAAGGTATTTCTCCCTCCTTCTTGGCATGCCTTCGTGGTGTGGCAGTCTGCACGCTGGGTGCGTATTCCAGATGTCCACGTTTCGATTCCCGGCGAAGGTGTTGCTTATTTTTCATCTATCTTGCTGCAAAAATATTCTAATGTCTGTACAATATAATTGAAATTTATTCATCGGCCACGTAAAATTATTTTTGGGGTCACATGGGGCCCACAGGCCGACAGTTTGAGATAGATTTTGAGACGGTATGAGACAGTTTTTGAGACAGTTTGGAACAGTTTGAGACCACGACAGTAGGTGATTCAAGGAAGAATAAGTTAGTTTAAATGGTGACGCAAAATCAATATTTATGTTCGTTGAAAAACTGCTTTGTTTACATGAAAACTTGCAATAATATCAAAAATTGTATTAAAGTATATATTTTCTTGCGTCACCCAGGTCGGCATGGTGTGGTCAGCTGAGGGTGTTTGTTAGCCCAAAACTAATGGGACTGTGGGCTGTAGGTAAGAATTAGCTGCATGTCTATGGCTTCCCGTCCTTCTCAAGGATATCGGTCTATTCCCTGAGACGTAGCCTGGGAAACGTTCTCGGTGCTGAAAGGGACTTTGCAATATTGATGATGTGCATGCAGACGGCTGAATCCGTAATGAACGACGGGAGTTTTGATGTCGTAAAATGCTGAAGCACCGATCTACAATGAATAAGAAACTGGCAGCCCAGCCAGATAAAATATTTTATTTCAGTAAGCATGTGACGGCCACAAACAAGTTGACACATTATCTGTGCGTATTTCTAGAGGTTTACATTTTTGATAACTTTGCAGTAAGGAGGAAGCAGCAAACAGCAATCCAGCTAGGCCGAAGAGTAGCGAGCAAGTGTGTTAAGTTCACGATGAAATTTTAATTGAAACTGAGGTAGTTCTGGTTGTCAATTCAATTTGATTGGATAATTAATACTGCTGTAAAATTATTATTAGCCCTTTTAGTTTTAGTTCCATTTATATCATCAGAATTACGTAAGAATCGTATGACATGGATTAGTCTCGAAATGGCGCAGTGTATATACAAATTACTATTTTTAATTAATTAACGCTTCGAATTTTAATTTCATCTTTTACATATTTTTTTATTTTTCTTATATATATAATAGAGAGAGTGAGAGAGAGTTAATGTTCTTTTGCTTCACTCTTCCCCTTAATTGCTCGAAACAGTGTTCTATCTAGTGATAATAAATTGCTCATTTACAAAACCATGTTGCTTCCATTCTTAGTTATGCATGCCCCGTCTGGGCATACTCGTGCAAAGTTGAGAAGGCAGTTACAAGCTGCCAAAACGGGGGTATTGCGTATGATATGTAATGCCCCCTGGTACATTCGGAATAGCCAAATTCGTAAAGAGTTAAGAATAGAGGATCTTTTTGATTTTTATTGCCGCCTATCTAGGGCATTTTATGATAAACAGGAACTTCTGGACAATCCTGTGGTTGTTAACTATTGTTATGATACTAGGGGCCCCAATTTCAGTAAACGCCCAAGGGCGATCCTAAATGTTAGTAATGTGTAATTTTGTATATGTGTTATGCAAATTGTTGCTCAGATTCTTTATTGTATACTGTTCTTTTTTCTTGCTTTTTGTTTTTACTAGTGGCACTAAGGCGTCGCACTTCGTATTTTGTTTCTCTTGTATGTACATGTATTCTTCTGTGAAATAGTTGTTAAAAAAATAGTTAATTATGTATGGATTAGTAATTAGGTACTTAAGGGAAAAATTGTATTTAACTATTAGCAATTATGAATTTAAACTCTTGCTCATTTAATTATTTAGCACGTTCAGTTATATTTCTCATAATTCGAAACTTTTATCATGTTATTCGATGAGGGGTAGGGCTATGGCGCCCAGGCACCCTGGTGGTTAAGCACCGCAGTTCAACATAGAATTAATGTTTTTTTTTTTTTTTTTTTTTTTTTTTTTCTCGTACAGTGTTGCCATTGCTCGCTTTGAAATCGTTTAATTTGTTAATCAAAAATTCGTTAAGTGTTACAAAATATGAAGTCGATAATAAAACAAGTTCCAAATTAGGACTTCCAGATGCCCATATTCGGTGGAGGATTACGTTATTCAAAATTTGACGGTTCTAGGTACCGTTGTTTTATCACAATGCGAGAAACATACATATATTTATGCAGATTCTTTATTATTTAATTTCTTTAAACATAATACAGGGCTCTAATATTTGGTGGCAACAATTTGAAAAGTGTTTTGCAGGTTATAGTGAATCAGCGCAAAATGCCAAAACGAAATTAAGAGTCCTGGGCAAATTGCCCCTTTGGACTAAAAATTCAACTTCGAGATTATCCCATTCTTAAATGTTTCATCAGTTTTGTTAACTTATTCATTAAAAGCTAAACTGTTACGGCATGAAATTTATCTATTATTTTCGCCGCACATTCCTCTAATGCAGTCATAACACATTCTTATTAATGTAGCGTAATCTTTCCCCTAAGCTTTCACTTGCATTACTAATGTTTCAAAGCTGAATTTATTGTATATAATGGAATATTGTTCTGAACAATCTCACACTCATTTTCACGCGGAAGGCTCCACATGATGAAATAATATTATACCTTCAAAAAAGTAATAAAAATCTTTCCCTGCCAGATGGCAGCACTTGCGACAAACATCATCACAGAATGGCGAATGTTAATGATGTATGCACATTTTCAGAGCTTCGTATGTTTTATCTTTTTATTTTGCTTAACGTTTTATATTTTATTGACCAGAAGCCATTACAAGCATAATCATTTCCTTTGTTTGGATTCTATACTTGCCATGCAACATCTTCGTTTCTGCCAATGTCAATCCATTAAATATCATCAAATATTGTCCGAATAAAATAAAATCAAAAGTGGGG